GATCACCTGAGGGAGAAATGTCCATCCAGGAAACTAGATGGCTATAGGATTATGATAAGAAGTACTCAAATCCTTGTGTACACTAAGTTCTTTCTGTAGATGAATAAAAATATAATTTAAATTCATGTAAAGGGTATTCAGCCTCCGAAAAAGGAGGACGCCTGACCAATTGATGTTTGCTTCATTCATTGGTGGAGGGTATACTATACTACTGGCCCTGTAACAGAAAGATGAATTGGATACAATCCCTGCCCCCTGGGGACTCTAGTCTGCTCTGGTAGACAGGCAGGCCCCTAAGCATGTTTTTGCCAATGAAGAATTAAAATCTCTCAGTATACTCCACTTCTTTCTCCTTCTATTTCGTCTCTAAAGGCAGAGTCTTCATTCCCCAGGTATATAAATTCTATTTCTTGTGTCTAAGGAAGAGTGATCTCATGATTGCATTAAATAAAAATAGTAGTCTTTACTAGCTTGCTACTGGGTAACAGAGACAAATCTTCTTGTTTTTATTGTTATTTTTGCTTTTGCACAAGATCTTATTGTACATACTTTTCAGAAAACATGATTTGAACTGCAGAACACTAACATTCCTGTAATGATGAGACTTGTTACATGGAAGCCCCCTGACACACTGCTAAATATTAGTCTATTCTTCTCCCTCCAGATAGAATGTCATTGGCAAATGAGAATCAATTGTACTTACAAAAACTGTAATTCAAAAAATTCAAAATGTCCCTGAGTAACTTCAATTCTTCCCTAGGCAGGAAATTTCTATCTTTAACTTCTCATGTTTAAGTTATGCCTTTTTCCTTCTGACCATATGGATTTCAAATGGCAAATCACTCTCTGTAATTTATCATGTCTTTAAAAGCATAAAATGTAATCATATTTACTATGTCCTATGCAAATGCAATGATAATTAGTATCTCAATAGTGAATAACATTCAGAGATATCTCTGAATTCAGGTATATTTCTTTACTAGTTGAGTATTTCAATTTTAGAGAAAGGGTTTTCTGCCTTAATTTCAAATGCCTAGGTAGTTTTCTGTAATTTCTAGGTGAGATTTTTCAAAATTATGTGCATAAAGTTAGGATTAGGGAACTGAAATTTAGGAAAGCTTGTATTTGTGAATTTGATGGTAACTGCATTTTTTAAAAAGGGTTTCACTCTATAGAATCAAAAAGAATATGGCAAAATAAGTTTCTTTTTAACCACCTGATAAACGCCGAAATTATCAAGACAACCAGGGACCTGGTTCAAAAAATTCATTTAAAACATACTTCAGGTGACTTAAAAATACACTCTTTAAAACAATTTGTGGTGGGGATAATTTTGGTAAGAAAATCTTACATTGACTGTATGAGTTGTTATTTTTGCAAAACAAAAGGACTATTATAAGTACAAATAGTTTCCAGGAAAGACCTTTTTCCTCATAGAGCTATCTTTATAAAGGTACCTTAATGATTGCTTTGTGAAGTTGATTGTTATTGTCATGTCCAAGAGGAGGTCTGACATTTTATCAATATCACAGCATTTTAAAGGAACATAGGAAAGCGCCGTGTGTCACTTCCAAAGATTTTTATTAAACAGAGAATTAAACTGACAATTTACATGTCAACATAAGCTGATGCTCATAACACATTGGGTCTAGTCAAACTATTCTGAGCATTTATAAGCTATTGATTCTTAGGTGTATACATATTTTCATAATTTATCATTTTAGAGACTATGCACTTTTCCTCCTAATGTTCTAAAATCTCGTGGCAGGATTTTTATTATATGCAAATTAGCAGCATTTGATTAGGTCCTGAGGCGGCTTCACCTGGGTGTTCAGAGAAATAGCAATGGGGAGTGAGGAAGAATATTTCATCACTGAAGTGTGTTTTCCCTGGGGGGACACCACCATTTGATTTTGACATTTATTTGTCCTGTGCTATAAAGGACAAAACTACAGTTACACTTTTTTTTTTTAATACTGTGCAGTGGGCATCATGTCAGAAAAAATTAAATCAAAATAGTATGTTTGCATACAAAACAAGATCCAAAACCAAACTTATTAAGCAAATCCCTGGTTAAAATCATAGTGCATTAAAAAATACTATTTAACTAATGCTTAATGTTGAGTATGTATAAAAGGAATCCATGAGAAACCAAACTGAAGAAACAAGATTACATCTATATAGCTTCGTAGTGTTCTCTTGGGTCTCTATAACAAAACAGATTTGAAAATACAGGTTCATTCAGTACTTAATTACCAAGTTCTTGTTTGCCTTACACCATTTTTAGGATCCTGAAACAAAATTACTACCTGATAGATAATGATAGCTAAAACAATGAATAAGTGTGTGCCAAATATATTTTCTCGTATTTTAAATTTTGCAATCTCTTTAAAATTTGAAATCTATACCACTTTATACTTTTCTGTCAAGAAATAATTGAGTTACTTTTTAAAATTGAACTTGATCATATTTTTTAAAATTTGAAAATATATTTTATTTGTCTATTGATCAAAATATAATAACCTTTGTAAGTGATTACCTTGAACAAGAAATACAAGGAAAAAGACTAAGAACAGTCAATGACAGCTACAAGTTTTCTTAAGCATGGAGTTAGCTTTTATTCTCTAATTATCCTCACTTACAGCAATTATAAACTGGTAAAGAACTAACACATTAAAGCTTTTTTTCAGAAATATTCTAAAATTTGTGTTTTTCCAAATCTATGATTCTCTGTAAAGCATCTCAACTGAAGAAAATAGTCACAAAACACCTTCCTGTTTTGATAATTAAATAAAACTAAAATTACCAGAACACCAAACATCCTAGAATTGATGCATTTCTGTGGATTTCAGGAAAAAGTACCTTTTTTTCTGTTATGTCTTATATATCTGCATTATGTGTTTTTTTCTAAATATCATAAATTTAAATATAAGTAATAATTATATATCTGACATGTAAAAAGTTGGCTATGATGTCAATAATGCTGAAGAGAAAACTGAAACAGTAGTATGTGCTAATAGCAAAAAGTGAAGTGAAATAGAGTCTTCTCTAATTAAGGCAATCTTAAGTCATGAATGATGTAGCTATCATGAATTATTAAGGGTGGTCCCAGTAATTTAACTAAAAATAATCCTTTTACTATATTCCCAAAAGCCAAGTGTTCTAATAATTTAAAGGTTTGAAATCTTTCCTTTACTTCGAAGGGAAGCAAAATTAAGTTATCTTTTAAAAGGCCAAATGTTGAACCATAAACTCCTTTTTATCCGTAAAAGTATCCCTTGTTTAGTTTTAATTGGAAATATTTATAACAAACTTGGAAATTATTCATGTGATTAAAAGGAGCATTTTATATAACGAATTAAATAGTAAGCCAGACGAGTCTTTATTTTCTTCATTTTTTTCCCCCCCTTCTGATAGAGTGAGCCAATTCATCATGTGTTTTCTAGAATGGCTCTGAAGAGGGGACTCCAAAGAAGGAAGAATTAAAGAATAATTGGTCCAGCTCTTTATACATCAAGTAATGGATGATTAAAGCTTTCTTAGATTAATTCACGTAGCTAAAATACAACTACCACACAACTACTGCTCTGAGATCAAGCCAGTTCTTTTTTTCGTGTCCTTTTTGTTGTTCTTGCTTTTAGGACAACTTGGTTCAACTTACTTCTATCTAGATGATTTGTTCAACGAGTTTAGAAATTGATTTCTGTTAACAGGGCCAATGAATAGGAGCCAGTGATAGAACAATGCTAAAAGGATCAGGTGAGATAATTGAATGTGACTAAGCTTTATGAATAGGCAAGTGCAATACCAACATAATGTTTTTATTATAAATTTAAGAGATCTAAAAGATGTTGAAGAGAGGTTGAAAGTCAAGAGGGAACCAAATGCATGCCATACAAGCTATTTAATCTGCATAATTTGAACTTCATCTCCCTGTGAGGCTGTAAAGTTCTTGTGAGCTGAGAAACATCTCATACCCCCTATGGTGATTTAGCGCCTGCATGGCCATGATAACCACCCCATGGTCCCGGGTTACTCGGAGCTCTTCAGAGCATCATGCTTACAAGACTCCTGAGATACATGTAAAGAAAAAAAGGAATTGTCATTAAAAGTTGTATTGATGTTATGACTAGAATTTTGGCCATAGCTTATCCTTTGGAAAACTGAGAAATGCTATAATGTAGGGAAGCACATGCTGGCAATATTTAACAAACTAGCATGATAGGAAAAACGGAAGTGAATTTGGCTTTAATATGGTAAAGAAAACATTATTGTCGCCCCTGCCTTTTCTCACTTGGGTATTTTCCCTTTGATCGGATTTGCCACTGTTGACATGGGAGGCACTCACTAAATTCTGACAGAAGAAAATTGATCAAGCACACAAATGCCCTTTATTCCTGTCCAGGTGCTGTTTAATGTGTTTACCTAAGAGTCAGACAATTTCCTTAAGGAAATCATGCACATTCCATACTAATCCTGGTCCTAGCCCGAGTTAGGCCTAGTTGATGTGGCCCAGACTTGCAAAAAGAAAAACCACCACAGCAGTGGCCCTGTGAAAACACAAAGTGGACGCCAGCCCCTGATAGTTACCACAACACTAACCACAGGAACTTCTAACCAAGTCCAAGGTAGGGGATATGTTTGTACCTATGTTCAATGTTATTTCTAACTACAGCTCTAGAATACCAAATATTCTACCTGCATATCCACCTGAAGGCTTGAGGAAAGAATCACAGGTATAGTTTGTTAGAAGTACATAACCCACTGACAGCCCAGTGAATTGTCTTTAGAAGCTTCAAATGATTTATCTTTTCTAAAAATTAAAAATCTATCTTCAAGAAAATCATTTGTGTGGAGAATTTACAAATAGTTTCTCACCTTCAGCCATTCCATTCACTAGTTCCAGTATGTCTCCAGGAAATATAACCTATCAATTATAACAAAAATATTCTATCCAGGTAATTAAAACTTTTAGTAATGATATAATGTTTTCTTTTCAGATTAAAAAGTGAGCACAGGCTGGGTGCAGTGGGTCATGCCTGTAGTCTCAGCACTTTGGGAGGTCGAGGTAGGCAGACTGCTGGAGCTCAGGAGTTTGAGACCAGCCTGGACAACATGGAAAAATCCTGCTTCTACAAAAGGCACAAAAAATTAGCTGGGTGTGCACAACTGTAGTCTCAGTTACTTGGAGGCCGAGGTGGGAGAACTGCTTGAGTCTGAGACGTCAAGACTGCAGTGAGCCATAATAGCACCACGGCCCTCCAGCATGGGCAACAGAGCAAGACCCTATCTCAACACAAACAGAAACAAGCAAACAAAAAACTGAGGACAGGAATGTAAAGGATCTTTTTGTCCACATTTTCCTTGAGTTACATTTTATAATACAAGTAGGTACAGAAAAATGAAGAGAGCTGGTTAATCAAGTTTAAAACATTAAACACAAATAGCTCTTCCCTCTTAAAGTATTTATTAACAAAAACAGGCCAAAGATATCAATTATTGGTTAGCTCTGAAAGGTGGTGTGATTAATAGTTTGAAAGAACGTTAGGTATAGCTAATGGCATTTGTAAAATAAAAGAGAAAAATTTGGGACAAGTTTATCAATTATTTGTTGAGTTTCAGTAATATGATAGACATTGTGAAGCATTTAAATGTGGTTCCTCTCCTCATTTTTTTTTTAAAGTACTCTAGTTTTTTGTTAACAGATCCGGCTAGTTCCTGCAGCTTTGAAAAAGAATTTAAAGCCCATAAATTTCGCAAATCCTAAGCAAGAAGCATATATTAGTTCTTCAAAGCATATTGATTTTTTTAAAAAACACGGATTTTAGCTTTCATGTGATAAAACTTTTAGTGATTTTCTTACCATGTCTTGTTAAGGCTTAAGTTCCTCATTTACATATTTGATGTCTCTCAGGAGACAGACAAGCTTCAAGTTAATTATCTATGTAGCTGTAAGAACTCTTGTTTCCTGGTTAAGAACTCTTCAAAAGAAAACTAATAGTTATTAAATGTTACACTGAGTCACCAAAAGTAATCAGGATACACAATGAGAGGCACTAAACAGACACTTAAATTTAATAAAAACCTCAACTTTTTAGAAGATAAATGAAAAAAAATCAATTAAATCTCTTACAGTAATTTTCAGGGAAAACAGCCAGCAGAAACCAAACAGCTGAAATCTCTGCTCTAGAAAGTGATTAGGCACTGCTGGAGGCTTAAAGAAATTATTGTAAATTTCTGGAAATAGACCCAGTGAACTCAGATCTGTAATAGAGTTGTAACTAAAGAAATGGCAGTTAAAAAAATAAAAAAGTCTGGCATCTTTTCCACTGAATGTGTGCCACCATGCAGGGGTGTATGTGTGTGCGTGTGTGTGTGTGTGTACACATATATAATACATCATATATAATATAAAATACATATACAAAGTATGTGCTATTTATAGACAAACATATGCTTTATTTTATATGATAAGGAAATATATGTGAGGTTAAATCATAATCATTGAATCTGAAAGTCTATTAAAGATCAGTTTCATGGAATAAGAAAAAGAAAGAAGGGCAACCATAAGACAGACTTGAGTTGGGAAATTGAAACCACAGCTATCAGGTGAGTTAATTAATCTGGGTATCGTTCAGTAAATGAAAGTGTGCCATCTATTTCACAAGGGCCCATTGTGTCTTGCATGTGAAATAAATTTACCCTGTTTGATTAAGGATTACTGATTGCCTCCAATTTATTATATGTATCCTATAATTAAGTCACAATGAATTCGAATGAAATGGGGATGGTCTCCTCCACAAAGAAGACAACAAGCTCATTCTAGGAAGACCTTGGGGGTCATTCAAGAAGCAATTAAATGTTCTCTAGGGTACATTAAAAGGAAAAAAGCTTGATGGGCTGAATGGCCTCTCCTTATATTCATCCTTCTCAATATTCTGCTCCTATGGAGACAAATGAAACCATGTCATAAAATAATATAAGGCACTATCAGCAAGGAAAACAATGCCGTCTGCTCTTATATACTAAGGAGAATGTTGTTGAGAAAATAATCTATACTACACAGAGGATGAAGAGGAGCATGAGCTAAAGTGATAAGCTATGTCAGAATCTGTTCAGAGATGGAAGGGTCTAAACAAATCAGTGGGATCTGAAGGGGTGCACATGATCCTTGAGAATTATATATTTTTTCTGTTTACCAGTAGCAAATACCTAGAATAAATGCTTTCTAGCAAGTGAAATAGAAAAAGCAAGATCAGTAACTGTTGTGCCTACAAATACATTTCTCTATAGTTTTAGAAACACTCTTATAAGTAGGCACCATAAAAGCAAAATTACACTGAGAGCTATTGAAAATGCCAAAGAAGACAAATATGATGGCAATATAGGAGAGAAAGACTGAACTCAGGTCCACTGAAACCAAAGGTAGGGGAATCCCTAAGCACTAGGGTGAGTTACAGGAAACTACTGGAAGACTTTAAAGGGGAGATTTGTGAATCTGATTAGACATCTGTATTTGCTAATTAGCATTACGGAAGTTAGGCTTCCACCTTCCCACAGAGACTGAGAGATAGAAACCTTATCTTTCTTGATAATTATATATTTTTAGAAGATTTACATTTCAAAGGGGCAGAGAAAGAATTTACAATTGCAAGTTTTTTCAAAGTAAATACTTTAAGAGGAGGGAAGTCAGGTGCCATAGTCAGGAAGAAACCTATCTAAAGCTTAGTCAGGTTTTAGAGTGTGGGTCCACTACTCTGAGATCAGTCTGGCCTCACAGAGAAATGGAAGCATCATCGCTTTAACTGTTCCCTTAATAAATGCACCTCTTTGAAAAATGGAGGTCCTAAAATATGCCAGTCTGCAAATAGTTATGAAAATATTCATCACTGAAGTAACTAAAATATAATTAGATCAGTTTTTTACATTAAAAACAGTTAATTTTGTTTATATACATATCAAATAATAAAAACTTTATCACCTAGTATACGACCCAAAAATTACTCAAGACTTTTTTTTTTTTTAATCCCAGAATGAGCACATTTGTATGTAGAAGCCACATTTTATAATGGAAAAATAAATTTTAAACAGAATCTGAAGAACACAGCCCAAAAAGTCATTTTTTCCATAAGCTTAGGAACATGATTTACCTTTGCTGAGATTTATTTTCCTCGTCTTTAAAGAAGAAAACCTGCTCTGCTTACATTACTGGAGATGAGAGAATGATGGAAAAACATTTAAAACGTGTAGTCAAAGGTGACACAAGAGAGAAAAGCAGAGGTCAGGTCAGAATGGATCTAAAAGCTCTATTTCGGAATTTGTTCCAGAAATCTAAAAGCAATAAGAAGGCATTGAAAAATTTTTAAGCAAGAAAGTGGCATTATATGATGGCCATATGAGGAAAAAATACTGTAACAGCAGTGTGGAGAATGTGTTAGTACAGCACAATACCAGAGACTATAAAACATGTAGTCCTGGGGGTGGATCCAGGGGTGGTAGCTACAGAGGCTTAGAAAATCTGGAGGCTCTCCACAAAATAAAAAATATATGAAGTTCTAAGATCAGGTCATTTTCAAAGGCCTTTGGAAATACAGAACCCTAAAGCTAAAGCTTTATTGGCATAGCAATAAATTAGCCTCTGAAAAGGCTGTTAAATACTAGTGAGGACCTGATCATGGTAAACTGATCCAGAATAGTAAAAGTGGGGATGGAGAGGCTGGACAGATTCAAGAGACGATAAGGGGGTAGAATCACAAGGACATGATGCTACATTATGTCAAGGTAGAGAATGAGGGTTTCTGACTGAGTGGATTCAAACACCTGGGTGACAGCATCAGCCTCAGGAAAGAGGGAACACCTCTTCTACAACAGGGAAGATGGAAAGCTTGAGTGGAGATAGATGGGCGTGAATTCTGTTGGCAAGTTGAAGGTTCCCACATCCGATGGTGAATCTGTTATGAAGAGAATTACAGTATAAGAGGACACTATTTCAGGAAAGAGAGAGAAGGCGGAAATGTCAGTACTGCACAGAAGGCAAAGAGGATGAGCACGTAGAAGCACCTCATTTCTGAAGGAACCACTACATCTTTGTAAAAGAGCAGATTCATGCAATGAAAGCAGATTCATGCAGTGGATGGGAAAGTGAACGAAGTATGCAGCGAGTTCAGCCAACTCTTTGGAGACTTCTGCTGGTAAGGGAAAGGAGGGTGATGGAACCATAGTTGGAGAGGAGCATGGGGTTGAGAAGGGCATTTAAAGAGCTGGTGATGACTAGGTGAAGAGGTTGAAGAAACATGCAAGATTAATCATCTTAACAGCAGCACCACATAAAAGGATGGGACTCAAAGCACAATGGGTAGGGTAATCCTTAAGTAGAAGGTGACTTTTCTGATAGAAGAAAAATAAGAAATTATAGTTGTTCATGCAGTTAAGTCCGTAGGGAAGGTAAAATTAGAGAGTTCATTTGTTTTTGACTTTTGTCTGAGTCTAGAGTCAAAGTCATCTGCTGAAAATGAGACTATGGAGTAGAAGGGATGGAGGCAGAAGTCAGAGGCTCATGGAGAAGATTTGAAATAAGCACCAGGGGAAATGGAGGAAAAATTAAAGGCAGGCACCAGAAGAAACAGCAGGCAACACTGATGACCAGATGAAGTTAAAAACCAAGAATTTGTGGTGGCAACAATCCATGCAGTTATGTATCTGTATGTGTGTATTTTCAACAGTTCATCAAATGATGTGTTGCTATAAAGAAAGCATATAACTGGATTGATCCAGGGTTGAAATTTTACCTGGTGGATAAGACAGAAAGACAATGCTCAAGAGTTCTGAAGATATAGACACAGGATGGTTACAATAATGGACCATCCCATTCAATCAAGAATAAGGAAGAAATGAAAAGTAGATGTAGATTGATATATGGGAAATAAGTAGAAGAGTAAAAAGACAAGATATCCCTAAGAAAGTGAAGGTCAAGAAGAGAGTTAGGGCTGGGCACCATGGCTCAGACTTCTATCCCAGCACTTTGGGAGGTTGAGGTAGATGGAGTACTTGAGGCCAGATGTTCAAAACCTGGGCAACATAGCAAGACCTCATCTCTCAAAAACAAACAACAACAACAAAGAAAACAGCCAGGGAAAAACAT